TTCTTCTCTAATAATGTTCTTCTTTTTTATACTTCTGAACATATTAAGGATGCCCCTCTCTACAGCATTAAACAGAACCGAAACTTGTGTCTGACACTTACCAAAACAGAAACCTTAAAAAAATAAAATAAGTGAACAAAAAACAAGTAAGCTGATAATGTACTGTTCACAACAGATATATATATAGACTATATAAAACAATATTTTTCATACAAGTCAACCCAAATTTCTACCAAAATGTTCTTCTCGAACTTCACAATGTGTGATCTGAAATTTGAGCCATTAGAGAAACAAAAGTGGGAAAAATGTATAGTTACATAGGGTCAATACTTACAGGAACAATAAGCCCTTGCCAGTTCAAAATATTAGATTCATCCACTTGAATGATTCGGAAATTCTTTATTCCAGAATCGCGAATGTCTTGAATCTCCTGAAACGAAACATAATTGATTGAAATTTGGTGCAAAATTATGCAGTGACAGAACAGGAAGAACAAACAGACAAATGCGTGAATGTATAACGTAGAGCAATCAGCCACAACATCTCCAAACTGGAAGCCAGAACCTACTAAAAGTGATCCAAGGAAGGAGAAATGGTGACTCGGCAGGTTCAGAAAGGGCAGTACTGGACCATGCCGTTTTAGCCCACAGAAAAACAGTCTTCAGCTGGCTAGGATAAAAATGTGTCAGCACACAAATTGCTGTGCATGACGCTGCACAAATGCAGACTGTCAGAACCTACAATGACCACATGAACAACACAGTGCTGACTTGGTCCCCAAATTTCCAAGATCTCAACCGAGACAAGCATTGTTGGGATGGGCACACACGGACACACACACACTGACTTAAGGTGTGTTCTTTTGGTGACATTAGGGTGAGTGCCACATTATGAGGTTGTGGTTTTAAACTTGTGGCTGATTGATGCCGATAAAACGTGAGGAAAAGTCAAGAAACCAGGTAAGGAATACAATCTGCTGGGTGTAGGTGATTCAGAGGAACTGTGTAATATGGCCCTGATGGACCGAGTCCCATCAGACAGTAAACAGTTACATCACTTCCTCCACAATGACTCATACCCGCTCATTCCTCGGTTCAGATTACTACTCACACAATGCATTTTTCCTTCCAGGCTGTTCACATAAATACTGCAAAAACAATTATGGTGTTTTAAATTTTATTAACATCGGACAATGATGGCCTGTGTGAGACCTTCACCTCCACTAATACAGTTCTGCATACTTACAAGGCAGCAGTCATAGATTCATACTAATTAACAATAAATAAATAAATAAATAAATTAATTAATTAATTAATTAAATTAAATAATGGGTTGCCAGACTGTGACCTTTGCAATGACATGTGTGTATGGCAAACAGACAGAGGTGGAGAACTCAGTTTTTTGCTATGAAGGCCTGTGATGTATGAAACACTCAAGGATTCATATAGACTAAGCTTTTTAACATAACCCTCAACAAATTAAAGAAAAAAAATTAAAAAACAAAAACCTGAAATAGCTTCAAACTTAAATGGGTATTGCATCTTTAAAATGTGCGTGTGCAGCACCACTGGCTGAGGACTAATGGTTCCATGATGGTTACTTTTAGTTATTTAAAAAAAAAACAACAAAAAAACAAAAAGTGTTTAATTTGTGACTTGTTAACCTTGTTTGCGGTTGACTGATTTCAGGTATAAAGCAAAGCAGTTGCAGAGAATATCAAGGAGCAGCCTTGTGATAACAGTCACCTTCAACCACCACAACCAGCTGTTAGCTGAACACTAGCACTAGCATTAGTTTAAAAAAAAAAAAAAAAAAAAAAAAAGCGTTACAAAACAAATCCATCTGGTTACTCAGATCAAATATTTTTCATTCATATGGTCAAAAAGTCTGCCAGTATAAATTTCAGAAGAACATATAGGTGAGATAGACAAACAGGAGGAAGGAACTAGTAAATGTTATCAAACCACTGAGGTCCTACAGTTGCAAGTGATTGGCAGAAAGAAAGTGACAGTCATAATATTTTATACCGATCAATTCAAGCTGTACATGCCCTACAGTCCCAGTCATTTCAGATAATTCTCTTGCAACAGTTTTAACTGAAAGCAAATAGTAGTTATTTTCTAATTCCCAATGGAATTTGGAATTTACGTGAACTGTAAAACTGAACTGTCAGGGGATTTCAGGAAGTCGTGACAGCACACTTCACCATTTTCTTTTTGGTATGAGGAAATTACTAACATACAGCAAATCAAAACTAAAACGAGTCAGAACAAAAGAAAGTATGAACGCCTGGCCAGTCACTACACTGTTTACAACATTAGCATACAATTCATTTTTTTCTCTCTTTAAAAATAAAAATCAATGTCTACAATAGCCACATTTTTCTACTTACTCTTTTAACTTACAGGAACAATTCTTTCCAATTGTTACACTTAATTCTTCATAATTTATTGACTACTCTATTTTGTTGCTGAAAAACGCTAAATAAAGGCATTACTCCTTCTGTTTGTTTTATATTGCGTTTGTTTACATGCAAGTACATGACCAAGTCAAAATAACTTTGTATACTGTTTTGCAAATAACTAACTCTTAATCCCCTAAACAAGAGAATAATGTCATTCATATATATATATATATTTTTTTATTATTAAACGTTTATTAAACGTATACGGCTCAGATGAGGTCTGACGTCACGTCCCAACCCCAAAGTCTCCATGTTTTCGCCTCCGCGGCTGCCTTCAGACGGCGAAAGCGGTTAAAACGAGCTGCTACAGTTTCTACCATGCTTGCCTATTAAACACCAGCTTGCTTTCCGACTTAAAGCCGTAGATGACAGTTTTATCTTAAAGCTTAATCACGCTCTGCTGGCATTTCAAATTAACAACTAAACCCCGAGTCACCGTCTATCGGCCGTCATTATCCTTTCGTTTTGTCAGACACTTGAGCGACAAACACCCGGACATTTTCTCTTTGCTCACGAATCTGTAGCTACACTCATAAAGTCGAAACCATTGTTTAAACCATGTCAAAGTTCCAGAAATCCAACAACTAAGATCTTTTTCTTACCCTAGTTAGTCTCCGAGCCGAAGTCATTGTGGTACCGATTCCGTCTTCTCCTTCTTCTTCCTTTTTCTTTCCGCTCTACCTCGACTTCTTTTCAGTTTGTTTTAAAACGGATGACGGGCGGGATTCTCTTGCGTTACCGCCCTCTTTGGGCCCGGAGGGTTACAGATTTTAACCAAATTTTTACCGCTTTGCTTTGGATATGTGTTCCTGTTTCCTTTTAGGTATCCCCATTTCTTTAAGACATCCTTTTAGAATAAAACTATTATATTTATCCATCTATTGTGGTAAGCTAGTCCAGTATTTAGTTCTGTTTATCTAATACATTCATTTAACCATGGCTCATTTAAAGGAGATGTGGAAAATCGATGCAAAAGCGTTATAAAAAAAAACAAGCACACATGAATTATTTTGAAATTAAAAGACAATTAAAGAAAAAAAAAGATAATTCCCCCACATTTCACAGTGATTAAATGGTGAATGTCCTTTTATCAAAAAGTCTTTATGGATTTTTTTGAAAAGTGATTCTATTAAATTAAATTTTTTGTCACCTGTTTTGTCACCTTGCCTCTCTGCACTGAATCATTACTTGTTATTAATCTCTGCCTCTCTTCCACAACACGTCTTTTGTCCTGTTTTCCTCCCTTAACCATGAACCAGTTGTGGCAGATGGCCACCCCTCCCTGAGCCTGGTTCTGCTGGAGGTTTCTTCCTGTTAAAAGGGAGTTTTTTCTTCCCACTGTCACCACAGTTCTTGCTCATAGGGAGTCTTATGATTGTTGGGTAGGCAATATAAATTGCCTTGAGGCAACTGTTGCTGTAATTTGGTGCTGTATAAATAAAACTGAATTTAATTGAATTGACGATACAATGACATAATAATGAAAATGCAAGAAAAAGAATCACAGAGTCTAAGAACATCCTACTCTCACTAGCTATCAGAAATGTTCTAATTTACTCATAATTCTCTAAATTACAACCTTTTAAGTGTGACTCACAGTGAGGAGCAGTTTTCTTTTCAGTCGCATCTTATATCAGGTGACCTCAATTGTTCACATGTTAGGGTGGGTTAAGGGATCACACTGATTTCACCTGAAACCACAAGTGGTTTTTTCACACCTTATGTGATGAGTCACATGATTAATAGTGGGTCAATTACCCCCTCCTAAGGGACACTACCAACTAAGATTTAAATATCTGTGACTCTCCACTTTTTAGCCTTGGATGAGAGGTGAAATGTCTTCAACAAAATTAAAGAAGTCCAGCGGTTTCTTTTTAAGGTCCTAAGATTCCTCTGGGCAGAAATACCTTGTTGATGCTACAGGTCAAAAGAGACAGGCCAGGCTGCTTTGAGTTTACAGGACGGATACAAAAATACAAATAACAACTTGTTATAACATAGGTATGCAGCAGATGACTCTTATTGTTTCACAGTAAGATCCACCATTGCTTGTCGTTGATAACTGTGAACAAACTCATTCATGTCATCTATCACACATGACATGAAAGATGGCTATCGTGTTGCCATCTACTCATTTCTGAAGTCCCATTTTGAAACTTTGAGATGAGCCTTTCCAGCATCACAATCTCAGTATTAAAAAAAGAAGAGGAGATGGGAAATGGAATGGTTCTTATATAGCAAAATAATAAAATAATAAATTGCTATTACACAAAAGCACAAGGCAGCCCTTGTTCAACTTCCAAGTTTTTAGTCTTTATTTTTTTAGAATACAAAATTATATTTAAAAAATTAACAGAGAAATTTACAGTGATTACCTTTAAGAAACTCTAATGTTTCAGAACTTGCCTGAGAAAGATTTTGTCAAGTTTTTTTGTTTTTTTTTTAAATTTCTCTTTTGTATGTAGCTCCCAGGAAGAACAAGTTTACTCACCACCACTTCTGCGCTGGTGAGTAAACTTGTATGCCAGCCACACAGCCTAAGCATATCCTGTGACCTCCCGACAGTCTGCATGTTCAAGATGGCCGCTTAAGTGGAGAATTTACACCTCTCCAGTAAAACTAATCCAGCAGCTAGTTGGCCGAACGACTTTTACCGTGGAATTACCCTAAGATACCAGCAACGTTTTCTTATGCGTTACATCTGAAGAGATAATAATTGTTGAGGTTCGACACATGGAGTAAAACATACTGGTAAGAAATTCGTTAACCCCCCCCCCTCCATAGTTTGGTAGCCACATTAGCCAGCTAGCCTGTTCAGTAACAACTAACAGGCTAATTTTTAGCAACACCTGGCGTAATCGTGCTAATTTCAGTAGACGTACAACAGGCAGTCCAAAGGTGGCTCACCTTTAAACAGTTAGCCAGAGTTAGCTGTAAAAATAGGACTCTGGCTAACTGCTAAGTGGGGTTGTTAATGTGAAATGTAAGTGCTAATGTTACCTGCTAACGTTTCATATATGATGGGTTTGCTAGTTTTGTTTACCTTACTCGCTCTTATACTGCCTTTTTGGTTTGTGAAACTGTTTTAAATGAGAGCAAGAAAAATGTATGTAGTATGTGTTGTTTACGCCACAACCGATATTTGTAACTTCAGCTCTAAACAGCCATAGTGAATGTGTTTGTACTTCTCGTTTCATATTATTTGTCATTGCATTTTGCCAGTCTCATAAGCAATGAGCAGCAGAACGACATGAATTTTAAATGACAGAATACTTATCAAACCTCAGTTCAGAGGGTTGTTGAGACTTCATCCTTCCCTTAAATATTAAACCTTGTTGGAAAGAAAAGATAGTTACTGAATGACAGCAGCAAAAAGAGGCTCTCTAAGTAAGACCGGAAAAAGAAGTTCTTCCCACTTTGTGGGAAGCTTAGTGAAGTGAAATAAATTTTTTCTTTTTTTCTAGCGTTCCAAACGTCAGCTTGTTACTGTAATTACTAGAAAAACATTTACTGAGAAAAAGCTGGTGGAATTCCTTAATTAAACCACGTGTTCAGAAAGCTCCAACGTGAAGAAAAGTGAAATTAGTATCTGCTCCTATCCACCACTGTTTAGTGAAACATCTTCAGCAAAACTACAGAAGATAAAATAAGATATTGAGACTATTAGCTTAGTCTGACAATGTTTAAAGCAAGCCATCCCTAGGGCTGGTTGGTTTGGACACTGAATTATTATAAACATTAATTATTTTTGTACCATCATCAGGTCTGTTTTCTGCGACAGGAAAGGTTGCATAAAAGCACAGGGCTAAGCATAGTTCTGAGAATGTTGATATGTTTGATTTTCTTCATTGCAGCCACCACATACTCATTTAAAAAGCTTACAGAAACACTCACTGATTTACTAGCATAGTTAAACGTACAGAGGCACATACACAAGAACACACACCTAATCTACCTCACAGAAGATACAGTACTTACAGACCTATTTTCAAACATATAATATAGGGTATATAAATACAGTGAACACGTTTAACTCTTTGGCAGATGTTGTATGAAGTAAAATTATTAAAAGCATTGCTATTTCTAAAAGGGAAACCAATGAGTAGTTCATTTTGAAAGACCAGTATTTTTTCTCTTTTAAGTATTTGTTATTATTTCTTGTCCAATTACTTGGTTAATCAATGGCATAGTCAATTAGTGAAACAATCAATAGCTGCATCCCTATTTATTTCCTTTTCTTTGTTCATGGACCTTTACTTTGAGAACTATGTAGTGATAAGCTTTATGAGTTAAGTTGAGACATTGAAGTTGTGGGAACTACATTCTAGTACCAGTACCTTAGCACTACTGTGAATCATTCATACACGTATCCTTCTTGTGGTGTTCCTGTTAAGTTACCCGAGGATTGTATATCACCTAGTTCTCCTTTCATTTATCGCTTCCGTCTGGTAAAAGTACAGCTGAACTACTACTACTTCTACTACTACTCTTCAGCTATAGACTATTGCGCTACACAAACGAGACATAGTTGTCATTAAGTAGTGTAAAAACCCACAAATCACAGTGAGTAATAGTTGAGTGACATCAGAACTCACATGGTTCATATCATGTGATGGCTGTGAAACTGGTTTGTGTGAAGGTGACAATTCATAGTTGATACGGGTTTGTATACACTTTCAGCTTTTTGAATTCATGTTGGACTAAATTCTAAGTAAGATGGAGGCTTGCTCTGAAAACAATGACTTGTGTACTAAGGCTTGGCGATTGGATGAATATATCAGCTATCGATGATAGGCTTTTTGCTGATTGTTTTTACAAGAGCGAGTTATTTATTTGACCATGAATAAGTTTGCTAATAATGTTGGTTGAAGCTAAGAGTCAACAGAAAAAATAATAGCACTGTTTTAACAGCACCCTCTTCCAGCTTCCAGCAAATGCACCCTCCTCAGAGTGCGCACAAATGCAGCGATTCAGTTACTCCAACTTATAACAGAAAGAAAGAAAGGCAGTAGCCTATGTTCAGAAAAGGAACCCCCACATTTTATTTAAATTAAAAACTCCACAATGCTGGGGAGGGAAACAAAGAGAAATTGGCTTCTTTTTTCCACCAATGGTTACAGGCTGTTCCAGTGTTTATCTGTCTTACACACTTCACCAAACAAAAAATACAAAATTAAACAAAAAGTTAAAAATCTCCGATAAAATAGTAAGTCTTTTGCCAATTTGGCGCATCTCAAGAAAATAAATAAATACATTAATTAATTCATAATCTAAAAAGTAGCTATATTAATACTGAAACAAACAAGAAAAGAAAGTAAAATATTCTCTCCAAACAAAACTTTCTAAATGTGCAAATAAGTTCATGGATGATTGCTCTGCCCATCAAAAAGTCTGTTCCTGCGTGAATATATTGCCTAACGTCGGTTGGAAAATTTTTACATATCTCCCAACCTTATTTTGTTCATAATACAAGATAATTTGGTACAAGATTCAATGATGTACTAATTGATATTAAGATTAATGTCTTTGTCACCAGTGCTGTCTTTACTTCCTCCAGCTGACACTCAGCTCTACACAGTAATGCCCCATCTCCTCAGTAGTTTGCATTAGGGCTGGGCCATATCATACCGTTCACGGTAATACCGGTATAATGTTGAGCAACGATAAGAAAATGAAATATCACTATGGCTGCTCAATTAATCGAATTTTAATCACGATTACGATCTGGGCTTTCAACGATCATTAAAAAGCCGATTTTTAGCCCCTCCCTCATTTATCCGCGACACCTTAAAGGCCGGTCCGTGAAAATATTGTCGGGCATAAACCGGTCCGTGACGCAAAGAAGGTTGGAGACCACTGATTAAGAGGACCCGAGGGAAGCTCGGAAAGCTAAGCAGAAGTTATTTGGAGAGGAGAGTGACTGCCGTTGGTTGAAAAGAGAGGTAAAAAAAACTTCAGTGGTGTTGCACACTATTTTATATTATTTTTTAAAGTCATTGTTAACCCTTTTGTTAACCCGGTCAGAGCAGCACGCTCCGTTTTGTGTAACTATTTTTAAATCCCTGTAGAACCTGAACCGTGTAAACTAGCGCAATAATTTGTTTTGCATATGAAACCAGAGGAGTTGTACTTACATCTTATGCCATCAGCTTGTCCTCGGTCACAGTTTCCTTCCACATATAGCTTTGCAAAAATTGCATAAAAAGCGCTTGCAGGAACAAAAACATAATATTCCAGAAACACGCTTTGCCGATCCGATCAGCTGTTCGTAACACTTCCCACAGTGAAACAGACGTCAGCGAGAACTATCGCATGTCCGCCATTTCCTGGCCGAAACCGGAAGTGACTTCGCGGAAATATAGTTTTTTACTTGTAGGCCTTAAAAGCCTATACTGGTCATGTTTGACTTTTCTGAATAGTTTCTGGGATGCTTAGAACTCAAATTGCACTGCTGGAAATAGTTTATTTTGATGCACCTGCTGTTTTCTTTGCAAATTTGCATCATAGGATTGTTTTTTTTTCGTTTTTCCTGTTGCTGTATCTCCAAAATAAAACTATGAAGACACTCAAAATAAATTTCCTGTTGTTGTAAACTATTTTTTGCAACTTTTTTGTATTTAAAGTTTTGAGGGATAAACCTCTTAAATTTCTCCAAGTAGAAATATATGTAAAAAAAAAACAAAACAAAAACGATTTTCAATTTTTTTGTAGTTTATTGCACTTGTTTGCAGTTAATGTAGTTACTATGGACTTAATGCATACATATTATTAAAATATGGGCAATAACAGTTGTATTGATGTATAGCAACTTGAAATGCTCTCACAAATGGCACTACAACATGTAAAAAAAATAATATAAGCTCTGGCGGACTTGGTTCTATGGTAGGTCTTAAAGGGTTAAATAAATAAATATCGTCAAATAATCGTGATCTCAATTTCAGTGAAAATAATCGTGCTTATCATTTTTGCCATAATCGAGCAGCCCTACACAAAACTCTACGTCCAGATGAACAGAATCAACTTTTGGAGATTAATTGTTATGGTTTTCCATTGACTGTTTTGTGTTAATCTCTGAGTTGTAAAGCATTGTTCTTTTTCTGTTAGCCACTTTGATTCTTTTTCCTTATTTATACTTGCTTTTCTTTTTTTTATTTGTTACTAGAGGGGATCTCCTAAAGAGGAATATCTAAATTTTCACTGCAACATAATTATGGAATTTTAGTGTTATATGAAACTGTGCTTATTTAACACTAATGGAACACAGTTATTGCTGTGTCTTAAGCTGATAAAGATTATAATGTCAGAGATTTCTGCTTCTTCACCTCCAAACAACAGCATTATCAGCTCATTTTAGCCACTTCACACTATCGTCATGTCACTTTGTGCAGAGTACTGACAATCTGCCACTAAATGGGATGATCCCTGCTAAAGATGTTCATTTGCAGCTCAGCGTCATGTGCATTTGCACTTTTGTTGTCTTTACCGAGGTCCTTGACTGGTGTAGTAAATGTTTACTAAGCTGTGGTTGGCATGTTAAGTGGATTTTTACTCCACCACCCAAACACCAAAGAACCTGAAAAACAATCCAACATTTGAAGTAATCCTTTCTTCACCCAACAGACCTGTTTTTGTTTTTCTTTTCAGAAACTGTAGGGCATAAAAAGCCTCTTTCCTTTAGTGCAGCATGGACAGCTTCTTCAAGGCAGCTGTATGTGATCTGGACAAGCTGCTAGATGACTTTGAACTCAATAGTGGTAAGACCAGTCACACATCACATGGACAGTAACATCTGATAAGGGATAGACATGATTCATTGTTAATGGATTTATTCATTTTATAGTTTATCTCAGTAAAGATATAACAACTGATAACACAAGTAACAAAGAATGTGTATGGAATTATTATATTATACTATTATAAGTCACGTGCGGGGAAAAACATAATCTGAGCAAATAATTTCATTTCACAGGTGCAATTAAATTCCCTGTGTTTAAATTCAATAACTCGCATGCGTAGAACTTAGCAGCCATGCACAGAAAGAAGCCATCGCGAACACAAGAGTGTCTGCTTTGAGGCTGCTGCAGTTTCACACTCTCGTGGGTAGTCCTCGGCAGGATTGGACTGACTTTTGACTGTTTGGAGGCGGAGCCCAAAGGAAGTGCGTGTCCTATTGGTAATTTTGATGCTCAGTTCCGGTTTTGGCATTAAACTGAGTTACACTGTAGCAGCAACAGAAGCATTGTTTAAAACTGTACTTCTTTGCAATTTGGAAAATAAAGTTTGCCAAATTAATTATCAACAGTTGTTGATTGCTGGGTAGCAGTAAAAATACTGACAACTGTCACTGAATTACTTTGATGCTAAAGAAAATCCTTTAAACCAGAGGATTAGGGAACTTTTGAAGCTATGGCAGTGCTGTTGTCCCAATGTGTTGTACAGTACTCCATAGCTTTTATGATTTAAAAAAAACAACAGCAAAAAAACCCTAACTCGTAACAAGAACCAGGAAAGGGAGTGAGAAATTAGAACTTTCGCTAAAATACATACATTTAAAAAAGTTGCTCAATCTGCAGCCAACACATGTAACTGTACATACCATAAGTTGGAGTGTTTCATAATGTGCCATAGATTTCTGCGGTTTTAGCATTTTTTTTCTCCCCAGTGTTAAAGTGAAGCCAGTGATAAAAAGTCAACAAATCCTCAATACAGATGTGTATCAAAGATCAAGTCTTTCATACTGATTTTTGATTTATTTAACAACTGATAACACAAGGAACTGATGTTTTTGTTTATCATACAGCAGATTAATGGGACAGCAGTGCAGAGACTTGCATTAGAATCTTCTGCTTTTAAACATTTCTTCAGCATTAAAGTAATTCAGTGACAGTTGTCAGTATTTTCACTGCTAAGAGCAACCAACTAACTTTTGTTTTTGTGAGCACTGCTCAGAAGCGGCAAAACAGAGTAAATCAGACAATCTTTACATCTTGGGAAACAAAATATTTAAAAGAGATGATGTTAAAAAAACACCACATTTTGTGTAACTTCTTGGTCTGTGTTACAAAACTAGCAACCTTTGTCACACCAAGTTAACATGCATACGTTATACACACACACATCTATATTTACTCACAGACACGCGCATAGATGTACATGCATACGTACACATTTATCAGTGTACCTACAGACAAATATTTTCTCTTATCAGCAACATGTTGATATTTTCATTCTATACAATAGTGCCCAGTGACTTCTTTTTTTGGCCAGGCAGTGCATATAGCAGAATATATATAGCAGAATCTCTGTCAGGTCTGGAAGCCAGGAAGGAAGACTCTCACTCAGGCAAAGGAGTGTCCCATCTGGAGACACCGGATTTTATACTCAAACCTGTGATTCAATGATACTTTGTCAAACATCCAAGGTTTAGCCAAAAATGGTGTTTCTTCTAGAACTAACAACAACTGCAGTGTGTTTGTACTCTTAGCAAATTTAAATAAGTTTTACACATTTGTCTTTATGAAGACAAATGGCTGTCTTCATTTGTCATGTTACTGGCATGCAGTAGTCTGTTTACTGGAGGGTCACAGGATGCCTAAGTAACCAAATTACTTTATTAGAACTTAGCATTTTTTGCAGTTAGTAAATATAACCATGTATTTGTATTTTAGCACTCATGGTTCAGATAGCAGCACAACTTTGACCCCAGAACCATATTACCAGATTGGGGGGGGAAAAAGCACCAAAAAAAATCTAGCAAAACAGAATTGACGGTGCCAGTGTATTAAAAGTACAGCTCAAGTGTAATTGAATTAACTGTTTTCCTTTTTTTGGATTGCAGAGGAACACGAAGGCAGGCCTGTTTCCCTGAAGCCCTCTGTGTACCCCTTCTCCTCACTTGGCCCTCAGTGTTCACCTATAGAGCTGTCCCCAAATCCACCAAGCCTCCCGGACCTTAATTCTCTTCATTATGGATTGACACCCGGCTGTCCTGATGGTTCTGCCAGTCATAACCCTAACCGCAGCACTGATAGAGAGGTCAAAGGTCAGCCTCTCACTGGTGTGGACCTTCTGTTGTCTGTGGATCGCAGGTCAGCCAAAAGCTCTACCCCTCCCTGTCCAGACAGAGCTTTGAAACCTGTCTGCGACCTTGTGAATGACACAAGCTCAGCCATTCTGGTCAGGTCCAGTAGCCACGATGCCTTCAGTAAGCTGGACATTGTGGAAAAGCAAATGGAGGAAGAGGAAGCACTGCTTGTGGATTTTAACAGCCCCGAAGTAGGACAAGAGCAAGAGGGTGCATGCCATAGTCGAGACACTCAAAAAGAGCAAACCCTTGTAGGGAAGGGAGAGGTACTGTTGAGTCTAGATTTACATCAGCAGAGTGGTGGATACTCTGCCTCACTCAGTCTGCTTGATGTCATTCTCCCCGCAGCAGTGGAAAGGAGCTGTGATCCTGCAGATCATTCACTATCTTCAATAGATACTGACTTAGCTAATAAAGAGGAGGGGGACAGTGATGGGGGGGATATCTCTGACCAAGTAGTTGAGAACTCTGTGGAACAGAGTGATCTGGATCCTGTTGATGGTGTTAAGAAAACTAGAACAATCAAAGTTAGTAAAGAGAATGAGTCTCATGAAGCCTTGGATGAATGTGAAGCAGAGTGTCTTCCAGGTCAGGAATCCAAAGCCTCACACAGCAAGCCGGTAGCCCTGTCATGTTTACCCATAGCTGTGTCCATGTGCGGCGCTCTTGTGAACCCAAAGACCACAGAAGATGATTCAGGGGAAGCTGAGCTATGCATTGATGCAGATGTGTCTGAGAGCACAGAGGCAGAATCCCTGTCAGGCCTGGAAGCCAAGGAGGAAGAGTCCCACCCGGAGGCACCCGCTTCCCACCCGGAGGCACCCGCTTCCCACCCGGAGGCACCCGCTTTACCTGCTTTTGTGGTCCAGGAGGTTGCAGAGGGCAGACAGTCTCCAGAGGGGCAACAACAGATTTTTCTTGAAGCTTCTACAGATCTTACCTCCACCAATTGTTCAGAAACCAGCCTAGTAGATCCTCCAGAGTTTGGTTTCGAGTACCTGCCTGAGAGCGACCAGGCTGAGCTGCTGGTTACAGATGAGGAGTTGGATGCTTTCCTGCAAGCACATGCTGAAGCAGAACAGGGTGTTTCTTATCCTGAATCTCTCCCAGAATCAAACAGGGCTCCAGAGGAAGGGCTTGTAAAACAGGACTTAGGTCTACCTTTTCCAGAAAGTGATCAAGCAATATGTGTATCTGCAGAGGGGAGCATTAACCCTGGTGCTCTATCAGTATCAGAGGACTCTTGCAGACCTTGGCAAGACTATTCTTCTGGGGTAAGCTCTCTGACCAGCAACACTTTCCAGTCCCAGCACAGCAGTAGCCCTGATCTACAACCCTCCTATGGAGGTGCAAGACCTAAACAGCTGCACTGCCAAACTGCAAGATCTCCAGCAACAGGAGAAGAGGAAGAGGGGGAGCTGGCTCAGATGTTAAGTGCTTCTACAACAGTGCCAAGTACTGCAGAGGATGGAAAACGTTCACCAATAAACCCCAGTATTACAGATGAGCATTCCATCAACTTTAGGGATTCTAACCTTTCATATGCAACTCAGGAGGATCAGGATTACAGTGTGGTGTATGATGAACTGTCAGAACCCCCACCTTACCCTGGGGAGTTTACCACAGACAGTGCCAAGGCAGTGAGCTGCAAAAGGGAGGGAGTGGAGGAGCTAGGGAACAGACAGCCTGCTTGGGTGCCAGACTCTGAAGCTCCCAACTGTATGAAGTGCAATCAGAAGTTCACTTTTACCAAAAGGCGGCATCACTGTCGTGCCTGTGGGAAGGTATGTTAGTCACTGAATAGAATGTATTTTACACTTGAATATTAGATTGTGTCATCATCATTGTCAGCTGTAAATACAGTGTGGCTGCAATTAATGGTTGTTATGACATGTTGTCAAATGGCTTTTTTCTCTGGCTGGTCGTTAAAAAAAATCCAGTGGCTTTCAGTGAGAAAGAGTCAGATTCATTAATTTAGAGCCACATAAATTTTGTGGGGTGTGTTTTTTTTGTTTTTGTGGGGGTTTTTTGGCCAACACAAGTCATTCCTTTTTTCCCCATTAAGGCCCTTGGCCTAATCTGATTTCAGGGTCAACTTTATCCTGTATTATGATACCAGAGTTTTGTTTTAATTATACCAATAACCACAGTCAGCCTTGAGGAGTCCATATTGGTTGATCCCTAATGTATAACCAACTGTTACTTTCCACAATAACAGTGACTCGATAGTGTTAACGAATAGTTATGTCTATAACTTCAATTCTCTTTCAGTTGATTCACTCGGTACAACACATACAGTTGTGGTCAAAAGTTTACATACACTTGTAAAGAATATAATATAATGGCTCTACCGAGCGTCCCGTTATTTCTAAAACTCTGATTTTTCTCTGATAGCGTGATTGGAACAAATACTTTTCTTTGTCACAAAAAACATTCATGAAGTTTGGTTCTTTAATGACTTTATTATGGGTTAACAGAAAAAGGTGATCACATTTTCTCGGTCAAAAATAATCATACGGCAACATGAATTAGCAATTTTGGTGACTTAGAAAGTTGTCAGTGAACTGAGCTTCATAGCATGGCCTCTCAACTGCTTGTGAGTGATTATGAGTGATGACAGCTGGTGACTTTTCTTAGGCCAGTTAAATAGGGCTCATTGGATACAAACGCCCACAAACGCTACAATAGGAAAGTCAAAGGAGCTCAGCATGGATCTGAAAAAGCGAATTATTGACTTGAACAAGTCAGGAAAGTCACTTGGGGCCATTTCAAAGCAGCTGCATGTCCCAAGAGCAACAGTGCAAACAATTGTTTGTAAGTATAAAGTGCATGGCACTGTTTCGTCACTGCCAAGATCAGGAAGAAAACGCAAGCTGTCACCTGCTGCTGAGAGAAAATTGGTCAGGAGGGTGAAGAGTCAACCAAGAATCACCAAAAAGCAGATCTGCCAAGAATTTGAAGCTGCTGGAACACAGGTGTCATTGTCCACAGTCAAATGTGTTTTGCATCTCCATGGACTGAGAGGCTGCCGTGCAAGAAGGAAGCCCTTGCTCCAAAAGCGGCACCTTAGGGCTCGACTGAAGTTTGCTGCTGATCACATGGACAAAGATAAGACCTTCTGGAGAAAAGTTCTGTGGTCAGATGAAACAAAAATCGAGCTTTTTGGCCACGATGCCCAGCAATATGTTTGGAGGAGAAAAGGTGAGGCCTTTAACCCCAAGAACACCATGCCTACAATCAAGCATGGTGGTGGGAGTATTATGCTGTGGGGCTGTTTTGCTGCCAATGGAACTGGTGCTTTACAGAGAGTAAATGGGATAATGAAGAAGGAGGATTACCTTCACATTCTTCAACATAACCTAAAATCATCAGCACACAGGTTGGGTCTTGGGCGCAGTTGGGTGTTCCAACAGGACAATGACCCCAAACACACATCAAAAGTGGTAAAGGAATGGCTAAGTCAGGCTAGAATAAAGGTTTTAGAATGGCCTTCCCAAAGTCCTGACTTAAACCCCATTGAAAACATGTGGACAATGCTGAAGAAACAAGTCCATGTCAGAAAGCCATCAAATTTAACTGAACTGCACCAATTCTGTCAAGAGGAGTGGTCAAAGATTCAACCAGAAGCTTGCCAGAAGCTTGTGGATGGCTACCAAAAGCGCCTAATTGAAGTGAAAATGGCTAAGGGACATGTAACCAAATATTAGCACTGCTGTATGTATATTTCTGACCCAGCAGATGTGATCACTTTTTTCTGTTAACCCATAATAAAGTCATTAAAGAACCAAACTTCATGAATGTTTTTTGTGACAAAGAAGTATTTGTTCCAATCACTCTCAGAGAAAAATCAGAGTTTTAGAAATAACGGGACGCTCGGTAGAGCCATTATATTATATTCTTTACAAGTGTATGTAAACTTTTGACCACAACTGTAAGTATGGGACATATATACACGCCCCGCAGCGTAGCCACCGAACCGGAATCGGACCACCACCACCTTAGTGAGCGATAGATCCAGCAGAAAGGACAGTATGAGCCACCGAAGGGGCTATAACGTCCAACCGATAAAACTGCACAAAAGTGTGCGGTGATGCCCAACTAGCTGCCGCACAAATTTCAGGTTATAGGCACCCCTTTGAAAAGAGCCCATGAGGTTGGCATCCCCCTGGTGGAATGAGCTCTCACCCCCTGGGGCAAAGCAAGACCTTTGGTGCCGTATGCTAATGAGATAGCTTCTATAATCCAGTGTTTAGACAGAACTCTACCTCTATTTGGATTAGTGAAGCAGCCAAACAGCTGGTCACAGGCATCGCACATTCTGAGTGCGCTCAATGTAGGTGCGTGGCACACGCACTGGACAAAGAGAATGCATCCTCCTCTGCTCCTCAGATGCAAAAGGAGGGGAGCAAAAGCTCAGCAACTCAAACTCTAGATCGATTGTTGCAAACCAATCTCCCTGACCGAATGCATTCAAGAGCTGTCTTGAACTTGTACGTTCGTAGGTACGTTTAAGACTTGCGGCTTGACCCGGAACTGCAACCGGTAATCCATGGCAACGGTTTGCAGCACCCACGGAGAGGGGGCGCAAGTGCGCCACTGAGGGAAGTGAGCAGCCAGACCCACTGTCTGCGGGGTGTTGTCGCCCCCCAGTGTGTCTGCAGGAGAATGCATCACCTGCCTGACCTGGCTCATTCTGCCTGCAGGCTGAGCATTTGTGATTGTTTGAGAATAAACAACACTCTTTATTGATTGTAACATGGGAACATGTACATTCATACATTTTGTTGGAGGCACCTAACCTGGGCACAACAATGAAAAACAGCATTTTTATGTGCAGGGGGTTTGTGCTTGGGAGACAGTGTTAGGAAAGTGCAGCGCCTTCTGGGGCTGACAACCTTAACAGAACTTAAGGAGCACCTCTTGGGCGACAACAGAGGGGTAAAAGCAGCGTCTACCTGCTGCTTGACCCCTTCTCCACTCGAAACCAGAGCTAGGAGGGTTGAGGCTTCTTCCTCCTGGGCACTGGGTCCCGCCAGGGGCCTGAGGGTTGGCCTTTGCTACAGGCCGACTGGCATGGAGCTCGGACCGGAGGATGTGCTCCCGCTGGCGGCACACCCACTGCAGCAGTGGGCGCCGATCTCTTGCCAGTCGGCAGAGGAGCGGCGGGCCTGTGAGAGCTTGGGCTTGGGCTTTGCCTGACGTGTGGGAATGATGTCGTGCAGAGCTTCAGTCTGCTTCTTCCTCAGATCGAATCTAGCCCGAATGGCTTCAAGCGAATGTCCGAATAACCCAGCTGCAGACACTGGTGCATCCAGATATACAGCTCTGTCTCTATCCGGGACATCAGAGAGGGTCAGCCACAGGTTCCTCTGCGCCACTACTGATGAAGCCATCCCTCTGCCTAGTAGGGGTGCAACGATACACAAAATTCACGGTTCGGTTCGGTTCGATACTTTGGTGTCACGGTTCGATATTTTTTCGATACAAAAAAA